ATGCAAGCGTGTTTGATTTATGGACCATGTTTTCGGACCCTGTTCCAGGGGGCGCTGTCGAGCCCCCCTGCCACGCCCGGGTACCATCTTCAGCCCGGCCCTGATGGCCGCGGGTTCTGACATGTGTGCAAAGTTTCAGGAGTTTTTGAGCATGTTAAGGCCTCCAAAAGTGTCCAAAAGGTAGCAGAAAAATAATAATAATAATAATAATAATAATAAATATAGCTGCGAGCAGCGATTACGGGCCCAAGCCGGTGGCACCGCAACCCCGGTGCCTTTAGTTACCTAAAGGCACCGGGGTGGCGGTGCCGCCGGCTTTGGCCCTTCATCGCTGCTCGCAGCTATATTTATATATATATATATATATATATATATATATATATATATATATATATATATATATATATATAAAAAGCCGGTGGCACCGCCACCCTGGTGCCTTTAGGGTTATTGTGCACGACGTGACACAAAATATCTGCTCGCTATCTGCCGAACGGCTCTGGTAGTTCCGCTTCAGCACTGATGATGTTGTAGAAATAGTGCGCTCTGGTTGGTCTGGATTATTCGGGATTTTTTATTTTATACAGAAATAAGTTATTTATAATTCAGATGAGAATAAAGTTAGTGTTGATTAAAATGAAGGAAAACAAATATATTGATCTGAAATATAGCACATTAATTTTAAATGTATTTAGGTTCAATTACCAAACATACAATCTTAATTTAATTTAAAGCAAACAATACATTTAAAATATATGGGTTGTATGCACTTTTTTTTATATAAAAAAAAGATATATATCCAAAAAGACAAGGCCTTAAAGGGTTAAACTCTTGTCACTGTAACAGACGCAATCTCTCTCTCTCTCTCTCTCTCTCTCTCTCTCTCTCTCTCTCTCTCTCTCTCTCTCTCTCTCTCTCTCTCTCTCTCTCTCTCTCTCTCTCTCTCTCTCTCTCACACACACACACACACACACACACACACACACACACGTCAAGTCACTTACATTTTAGATGCAATATTGAATAAGCAGAAAAATCGGATTTTCTGCTCTGAAAATATAAATAAGCATAAAAATTGAATAAGCACTTTGAATATTCTAAACAGAATAAGCACTAGTCGCTAATGAATAAGTACTAGTACTTAATGGAATAGATACTAGTATCTAAAAAATAAGTACTAGTAGCATGAAAATAGAGACTAGTAGGTTAAAATGATTAAATGTTAAAACGGCTTGCCATATTGGCTCAGAGAGAGAGAGAGAGAGAGAGAGAGAGAGAGAGAGAGAGAGAGAAAATGACCTTTTAGATACTAGTACCTATTAATAGATACTAGTATTTATTCAATAAATACTAGTACTAAGTCATTAGATACTAGTACATATTAAATAGATACCAGTACTTATTCATTAGCTACTAATACGTATTCAAAAGAATATCTAAAGAATAAGCACTTGTATCTAAAGAATAGGCACTAGTACTAAAGAATAAGCACTAGTCCCAAATGAATAAGTACTAGTACTTAATGGAATAGATACTAGTATCTAAAAAATAAGTACTAGTAGCATGAAAATAGAGACTAGTAGGTTAAAATGATTAAATGTTAAAGCGGCTTGCCATATTGGCTCAGAGAGAGAGAGAAAATGACCATATTCAAACCACAATATCTGACTTTCTGAGGGTCGGAGCTAATTACTTTAAATTAGAAAGTTGTTCGGCTTGAGGAGAAGAATATACACGCTGAGTTTTGTAACTGTAGGTAAAACTAACTAAGTCATAACACACTTTATATGTCCTTTTTTAGTCATGAAAATTAATTTCCTCTCCGTGGCCAAACCGTTCGAGATATCAAAAATCTGTCCACAATTTAGCATCCTTAATGTCTTGACTTCATGCACACCGAGTTTGGCAATGATTGAATGAATTGCCTAGGAGTAGTACTTCAAATTCCACAGCAAGCGTTTTCCAAACAACCCATAATAGCCGATTTCCTGTTGGGCTGGCGTAAAACTTGACCAGGGGAAAGATGTTCGGCCCGATGAGATCTATATGTGTACTAAGTTTCATATTAATTCATGCAAGTGTGTTGGATATATGGACCAAATTGTTGGACCCCGTTCAAGGGGGCGCTGTTGAGCCCCCCTGCCACGCCCGGGTACCAGCTTCAGCACGGCCCTGATGGCTGTGGGCTCTGACCTGTGTGCAAAGTTTCAATAGTTTTTGAGCACGTTAAGAGCCCCAAAAGCCCCTGAAACCTTGAACTCCATTAAAAGCAATAGACAAATCCCTCACACACAGAGACGAAGAGAGAGGGAGAGAAAATTCTCAGGGTTGTATGCTATTTTTTTATATATAAAAAGATATATATCCAAAAAGACAAGGCCTAAACTTTAACAAGGGTTAAACAATCACTGTAACAGACACAATCACACACACACACACACACACACACACGTCAAATCACTTACATTTTAGATGCAATATTGACTTTTTTTCTGTTTCAGCAGCGAAAATAGTTAAACAAAGATCACAGCAGAACCATCGAGGATCTCACAGCAACGCGTTCTCATTACTGAATGATTCAGCATTTTGAACGAATCGGTTGACTCAAAGATTCAACGACCAATCCATAATCTGTCTCATTCATGAATGACTCAGCCGTTCGAACGAATCGTTTGAACGAATGAATCAATGACTCGCTCATTAAGACGGTCGCCTGGCGACACCTAATGACGGTTTAGTGATATGTTTAAAAGTATCATTCTGTCCAACGATTGTTAATTAACTCATTTGAAACATAAGCTATATATATATATATATATATATATATGTATATATATATATATATATATATATATATATATATATATATATGTATATATATATATATATATATATATATACACACATATGTATACACAAAAATAAAATAAAAACACATTTGAAGCGTGTTTGCTTACTAAATTGTGAGCTGAACGAAAGTTGCAGCAAAGATCAGCAACAGGAGTCAAATTTCATTAATCACGAGAGTGAAGAGCTGACTGAAAAAAATGATGATGGAATATTTTGTGTAAAAGCGCCTATTTAAGCGAATCTGTCATTTACTCATTTGTTGTTGTGTATTACCTGAAAACCGGAAACAATCGGCCCCCGATATGGTGCTAATTTTAAAGTGACACTAAAAAGTATGCGGCTGCACTGGCATTCATAACGGTGCGCGTCCATGGCGACGAGCAAGCAGAACAGAGCGAACGTTTTTTCATTTCCACTTCCATAGAAATTCATTCGAGCGCACTGCGAGCGCCACCACTATGTCCGTGCGGACGTCCTTACTTTACTTTCACTTTTATATTAGCGATTTAAAAGGCCTCGCTGGTGTCTAACGTCGATTAACCGGTGGGAAAAGATCCTCACAGCCACATACCTAATATATTTATATTTAATTACAATAGCCATACCTGATAAAAAAAGTTTTATGTACTGAGTTGATATCATTTTGGACACAAGAGGGCAGTATAGCCCTTTGTATTACTTGATGTATTTATTTTTTAACTGAATAGCACATTCTGGCTGTTTTTAAACTTGTACATTATTCTTAAATTGAAAACAAGAATAAAATGGGGTTAGTTCTGATATTTGTGTAATTTTATCTAGAAATAAATGGTGTATAATTAATTTTTTAGAAGATATGAGGCTTTTAGTGTTTACTTTTTTGACATGACTTTAATCCCTCGCCATAGCAAAACAATTTGAGATATTCAATAGCCATTCACAATTTAGCTTCTTTAATGTATTTTCATCATGTTGAAAAAGTTTGGTGGGAATTGAATAAACCACTTAAGAGGAGTGGGTAAAAAATCAGAGGCTTTTTTAGCCAAAAATCCACATTCAGACAAAAATATCTGACTTTCTGTTGATCCGAGCTAATTACGGTAAATTAGAAAGTTGTCCGGCTCGAAGAGTACAATATACATATCGAGTTTTATTACTGTAGATAAAACTAACCCCCCCCCTTTTGTCAAAAGCATTTAGGAAGTGACACACTTCCTGCTGCCAGTTGGTGGCGCTATAACTTTGACTCACAATAGTCACATCCATGTGATCGGGCTCTTACAACGAACACACTGTTGAAGTTTCATCAAGATCAGTTAATGTATGCAGTAGTTATGACACACTTCCTGTTTCACGTTTCTCGCCATAATTTTGTTTCCTCGCCACGGCCAAACCGTTCGAGATATCAAAAATCCCCTCGCAAACTTTCATCCTCAATGTCTTGACTTCATGCTGACCGAGTTTCGTGCCGTTTGTTTGAATTCTCTAGGAGGAGTATTTCACATTCCATTGCGTGTGTTTTACCAACAACCCTAAATAGCCGACTTCCTGTTGGGCTGGGGTAAAAAGTAAGAGTGTGAAGTATATATGAAACGAGGAGATCTACATGTGTACCGAGTTTCATATTATTACATGCAAGCGTGTTTGATTTATGGACCATGTTTTCGGACCCCGTTCCAGGGGGCGCTGTCGAGCCCCCCTGCCACGCCCGGGTACCATCTTCAGCCCGGCCCTGATGGCCGCGGGTTCTGACATGTGTGCAAAGTTTCAGGAGTTTTTGAGCATGTTAAGGCCTCCAAAAGTGTCCAAAAGGTAGCAGAAAAATAATAATAATAATAATAATAATAATAATAATAATAATAATAATAAATAATCCTAAGGAAAACAATAGGGCCTTCGCCCTTTGGGCTTGGGCCCTAATAATAATAATAATAATAAATAATCCTAAGGAAAACAATAGGGCCTTCGCCCTTTGGGCTTGGGCCCTAAATATAATATATATATATTATGTATATATATATATATATATATCTTTGAAAGATTTGAAGTATTTCACTACAAGTGCATTCAATTAAGCCAAGTCAAGTCTACAAGAGCCGCACAGATCTGATATAGTGCAGGTTATTTGCTGAAGTGTGGAGATGATGAGTTTTGATTTCTGTTTTCTGTAGAGTTTCCAGTCTCTCGCAGTACCTCCTGAATCTACAGACGAACCCGACGTTCCCTTCGGTTCTCTCTCCTCTTGTGATGGCATGAGAGAATTTGTCCGTCAGCTGAGAGACAAACTGGAGGATTTCTGCAAAGAGAAGATCAAGCAGATCTCAGACGGAGGTAAAGTTCTGCGCCTCGTTTATACAGACGTGTGTAGAAAGATCCTAAATCTGAACATACAACCGTTTCCGAAATATTCCTACGATTTATAAAACGTCCATTTGAAGAAAAAAATTCTTAAATACATCACAGTTTATAAATCACAGTTCATCTTAAATTTAAATGCAATGTGAACAAGTGCATCAAATCCACTGAATGGCCACAAATATCCCCTGTGTATACATGACGTAGGATGATATTCATGGAATTTAGGATCAATCCGATGTGTGTGTTTTATAAATGAAGCCCCTGGAGATTATTCATCTGCTCTTGTCGTGGCTAATTGATGGTTTCTGGTTCTGGTCTGCAGTTTTCAAAGTCTTCTAGAAATAAGTCGACAAAAAGCTTTCAGATTCGAAGTTCCACACAGCAAAATCCCCAGTGTTAAATTAACACTGCTCAGTGTTTATATGAGTCCACACTCAGGCCCTGTCCACACGAACACGGGTATTTTTATAACCGTGACTTTTTTTACGCGGTTCGGCCGTTCGTCCACACGAAAACGCACTGAAACCGAACATTTTTGAAAACCCCTGCCAGGGTGAGGATTTTCAGAAACGCCGGTTACAGTGTTGTCGTGTAGACAGTGAAACCGGGGTTTTTGCCTTGCGACGTCAGAGTGTGCGCCGTTATCAGCTATGTTTGACATCAGATTTGCGCTTCTGATTGGCCAACGTGGCTTTAGGGTTAAGGTTTATGTCGCCGCCTGCTGGCGTGGCATGCTCTTGACCGCGCTTGATTGTGTGTTTTTACGGTTTCATGTAGACGGAGACCGAGCATGTGTGGACGGGATTTTTTTTAAAAACGCTGTAGGAAAAACTCCGGTTATAAAAATACCCGTGTCCGTGTGGACATGGCCTCAGAGAGTGTCAAATGAACACTGAAGCAGTGCTAAAGTTAATGAGATCATTAAGTTATTAATTGAGTGATAATTGAGCATTATCGAAGACACCTGATGTTAACAAGCAGAATCACTGAAGGAGAAAATCGTAAATGTTACCATTATGGAGATCAATGTTTGCTTTAGTTGGCCTCTTGACCCTTACATAATTAACTTTAGATTTTGTTTGGCTGCTATACCTGAGTTACAACAGCCATGTGAACAAAGAGAAAAGGTGATGTGATGGTGCTGGTTGTGTTTTAACATAATCAATAGTTGGCCTGAGTCACTGAACTCATTGAGAGCGTTAAGAGAAACTCATAATTTCAGGGTTAAGTTTACCTTTTGGATTATAGCAGCACTGTCATTGTAGAGTATGCATTTTTTAACCTTTTCAATTAAATCCAAATGATCAAATCAATTACAAAAAAAAAAAAAAAACTTAAAAATATTTCAGGTAGGCACATATAGACAACAAGAATTAGCTTATGAATCTCAACAATGGTGACAAACAGATCACCTCTGAACATAAGCTCATTATTTATTCATGCAGCAATGCATGATGGAAGCCATGAATGAGATTTGATTGGTGGTATCCAGAATACACTGCAAAATGCTTTATAATTGTCACCATTGCTGAGATTCACAGGCTGGTTCTTGATATCTGTTTAAAAAAACCTGTTTGTATAAGTTTAAGGAAATTATTTGGATTACATTGTAAAAGTTACAAATATTATGATTTTCAAGGGCAGTGCTGCTATAATCAATAAAGTAAATGTAACTCGGAAATTGGGCTCTATTCAGATCAAATGATTGTGAGATAATGATAATGTTAAGACACAACCAACACCATCAAATCACCTTTTCTCTTTGTTCATCTGGCTGTTATAACTCAAGTACAGCAGCCAACCAATGAACTAAAGTTAATGACTTAAGGGTCAAGAGCCCAACTAAAGCAAACACTGATCTCCATAATGGTAACATACCAATTACGATTTTCTCCTTCAGTGATTCTGCTTGTTAACATCAGGTGTCTGCGATAATGCTCACTTATCACTCAATTAATCACTTAATTATCTCATTAACTTTAACACTGCTTCAGTGTTCATTTAACACTCTCTGAGTGAGGACTCATATAAACACTGAGCAGTGTTAATTTAACACTAGTGATTTTGCTGTGCAGGTCTCAGAAGACGTAACTTTATTGAGCAATTTAACAAAGTGAGATGTTAGTTTGAGTCATCTGATCTTACAATGGTTGATACGTAGGTCTTATACCTTTTTCTTATCGCCAGTGTCCAATTAGCGTCTGTACCGTTATCTCTTACATGTTGCTCCTCCTCGGTATTACACCACAATTAAGATCACATGCTTCGAGGCCTTCTTTCTATTGGTAGCAGAATTTTTTAGCAGTTTTTAGCAGTAGCAGTAGCAGTTTTTTTTAAAATTACTTCATACATGTTTTTTAGTACCTTTCCGTACCTTCCACCAACGTCATCTAGGCATTACATGGGTTTTTAGGTACTTTTCCATCTTTTCATGCCCTATGGCCTACATTTTCTGCTTGGCATTACAGCATCTAGACTCAAGCATTAGATAGAGGAGGGCTGGCGAGATTCTCCAACACTCTCAGAAATGAGTCCATCATCTAATATCATACAGCATTATATTAGAAATGTCTCAGAAATGAATGTATTTTATCTCGTCATTTCTCTTCACACTGTTCATGTCTGTTTATTTCCACAGTCACATTCACCAACATGAATCCCAAGACCAGGAACGACTTCCTACAATGTGAGTCACTAGAAAAACTCACTGAATGTGTTCATGTTCTTCCTGTAGAAGGCGAAATACATCATGATAGAAGAGTTTTATAATTTATCATGTAAATGATGATTTGCTCAGGATATTTGGTCATCTGTACTGAGACACTGATGATACATTGAACATTGATTCATGAAGAGATCAGATACATTACAAGATCAGACAGATTCATAATTCCTGTTTCTGATGTGTTTTCTCTCCATCAGATTCCCATCAGCTCACTCTGGATCTGAACACAGTGAATAAACGCCTCAGACTCTCTGAGAGGAACAGAGTGATTACTAACACTGACACAAAGCAGCCGTATCCTGATCATCCAGACAGATTTGATTGTTATCGTCAGGTGTTGTGTAGAGAGAGTGTGTGTGGACGCTGTTACTGGGAGATTGAGTGGACTGGGAGTGTGTATATGTCAGTGTCATATAAGAGCATCAGCAGGAAGGGACGGGGTTATGAGTGTTGGTTTGGATGTAATGATCAGTCGTGGAGTTTTAACTGCTATTCCGACGGTGACACATTCATACACAAGAATATACGCACTTATCTCCCTGTAAAGAGAAGAATAGGAGTGTATGTGGATCACAGTGCAGGAACTCTGTCCTTCTACAGCGTCTCTGACACAATGAGCCTCATCCACACAGTCCAGACCACATTCACACAGCCGCTCTATCCTGGGTTTGCTTTTCATTCTGGATCATCAGTGAAACTGTGTTGATGTTTCAGAACAGATATAGATAAATTTTACCCATAATACTTTGAGCTGCACAATAAATCAGTAACAGTGAGATGTTATAGAGACTCTTATTTCCTCTTCATTACATTAATACTGATGAACTTCACTGGAATAAAAAAAGAATAAATGTGTGTATCAAATCCTCACAGAGACAGTAAGAACAGAGTGTATGCTTTTCTCAAACTCTGTTTTGATGAAAATCTCATTCATTTTTTTTGTAGTGACACATAATAAAATATTTTTAATTATTACTATCAAAAAGTATCTTTCTTTAAGTCTTAGGTCTAAATCTTAAGTATCTTAAGATTTAAGTCCGTGGTGACCTTCTTCCAGGGTCCGAGAATGTTGTATATCAAAAAGTTCAGAACCTGCAAAGAATATCAAACGCACACACACACACACACAGAACACTGACAAACAACAGTTCTCTTCGAGGCTGAAGAAAAGGCCTGAGCTCATTATCAGAAGAGCAGTCCACCTTAACAGGCTGATAAAACATTTCACACCAGGAAAGCAGGAACGATAATATGCCCTTTTACTCCACTCCCTAAAGAAATACACATGAGATGTTCACTTAATGAAAATAAGGTGAAATTATGTATAAATTGACCCTCAAACTTATACAAGTCAACTAAGACAGATATATAGATGCAGATATGTGGATATTGTTATGAAATATGCAATTATTCTATTCTAATCATGGCTTTTGGTATATTAAGTATTTATGGGTCATAGTAAGCCACAATTGTAATTACTAAAAAGTGCTTTTATAATGAAAGGTACCATAAGTAGTTGTTAAACAATTTATTAAGAAAGTGTTTACTGTAAAACACTTGTATTAATAATCATTGTAACCATATATTGAGAAAATAGTTTATTAAGAAAAACACCTCAACTTGTTTTATAAAGATTTTTATTGTGAAGCTGGTTTATTAAGGAAAACACTGTAACTTGTTTTATAAATATTTTTATTATGAAGATGGATGATAAAGAAAAACATACCACACTGAATGTTGTAAGCATTTATTAAGCAGGTGATGGTGGCAGAGTACACAGCAAAATTCCCAGTGTTAAATTAACACTCTCGGTGTTCATATAGGTCCAACTACAGGGTGTTAAAAATGAACACTGAAGCAGTGTTGAAGTTAATGAGATAATTAAGTGATGATTAGTGGTGATAGCTAATGTTAATAAGAAGAATCATTGAAGGAAAGAGAAACAACAAGAACTACTGACTTCGAGCCATTACACATTATTGTACTTATTATTACCAGTGTATTTCTGTCATAAATCTACACACATTCTTAATTATATTGAACAGAAGTTTAGATGGTAATGTTTTATGGAATGTTTCATTTCATGTCACCATTATGGCGATCAGTGTTTGCTTTAGTTGGGCTCTTGACCCTTTGCTTTTTAACATTAGTTTTTCTCTGGTTGCTCCATCTCTGTGTTTATAAAGCACATGTGTTATTGCAGGAGAAACCATGACATGGGCTGTGTTTCCGAAAGCATCTTAAGCCTAATTTGATTGTACAGACATTTTGTTGCAATTGTTCTACGATCAAGTTAGGTTTAAAATGCTTTTGGGAAACACAGCCCAGGTCATGATGGTTATGTTTAAATGATGAGATTACCATCCTGTAGTGTCCTGATTCACTCAACCAGCATTATAAACTGATTATACAAAGCTTCTATTCATATTGATTAAAGTAACTAATTCCAGCAGTGCTTTAATAATCTGTAGGTTTTAAAATACCACATAGATATCAAGAATCTACATATGAATCTCAACAATGGTGACAATCACATAAAATATTCATGTTGCAGTGCATGATGGGAGCCACCAATCGAAATGCATCCATGGCTCCCATCATGCATTGCAGTATGAATAAATTATACAGCTGAATTGTCCTGTAATTTTCATTGTTTTTCCTGTTTGTTTTTATTTTGCTATTGTTTTGTTATGACTTTAATAGCTTGTTTTGTGATGTTCAGAGTTGATCTGTGTGTCACTAGTTTGTTTATTGTCACCATTGTTGTGATTAATATGCTGATTCTTGATGTTTGTGTGTCTAAACACAAGAGCTCCAGTGCACAAAAAAGTTTCAAAATTGTTATAATTGCTGTTGGGTCTCAAACTGTAAAATCTAAGGGCTACAATCACCCATACTAAAACACAACATCAATCATATAGTCAAAGATCTAGACTCTGAATGACATCAGTGAATCAGGTCACTACGTGATGACAATGTCATCATCACAACATACTGTTGGCATGTTCTCTCGTGCAATATCAAATGTGCTTTATAAACACAATGTTGGAGCAGCCAGAGAAAAACTAACAATAAAAAATGAAAAGGGTCAAGAGCCTAACTAAAGCAAACACTGACCACCATAATGGTGGCTTGAAATGAAAAATTCCATAAAACATTGCCGTCTAAACTTCCGTTGAATCTCAATAACTTTTGTAGATGTATGACAGAAATAAAGTCACACTGGTAATAATAAGTGCAATAATGTGAAAAGGCTCGAAGTCAGTAGTTCTTGTGTTTCTCTTTTTTTCGTTCTTGTTGTTTCTCTTTCCTTAAATGATTCTGCTTATTAACATCGGGAGTGACCACTAATGGCCAATCATCACTTAATTAATCACTTAATTATCTCATTAACTTCAACACTGCTTCAGTGTTCATTTTTAACACCCTGTAGTTGGACCTATATGAACACCGAGAGTGTTCATTTAACACTGGGAATTTTGCTGTGTACTATAGGGTTAATAATTAAATAAAGTACCACATATAAATAATAACAATTATTCAAATGTAAATAAATAAAGTCTTAATCTTTTACGAAAATTCATAGCATTCATTCCCAAAATCAAAAACTGCGGAAGAGAATTCCATGCCACCATTGCTCTATACAGCACCGTCCTTTGTATAAGGTTAGTTCGACACGAAGGTAACAAAAAGCGACTCTCTGTTGACTGACGAGTGGAATATTGATGCACAGCACTAAAAAAAGACAGTCTGCTGTATAATACTTCTGGCATTTTTGTAACAATAATTTTTCTAACAAAATTAACAATACAATAATTAATCCTACTTTTTACACTTAACCAAACTAACCTAGTATTCAAGTCTCTAACACTAGTCCTAAAAGGGCAATTTAAAACTACCCGAGCTGCTTTATTTTGAGCAACTTGCAATTTTCTTAAGTTCATTTCAGTTGTACTTGACCAAATAATTGAACAATAATCCAAATGTGATAGAACTAAGGATTCTACTAATATTTTCATCACTCGATTTGGAATAAATTTTCTACAATGCTTAACAACTGCCAGACTCCTGCCCATTTTCAATAATATTTGATTTATATGACTATTCCAATTTAACAAATTATCAACAATCACACCGAGTAGCTTCGCCTCCGTAACCTGTTCTATCACAATACCCCCCACAGTCAGACTCAACACAAGCGGATCTTTTAACAAATACTTGGATCCCAGCACCATACATTTACTTTTCTCTGCATTAATCACCATATTATTGTCCCTAATCCAATTTTCAATTAGTTTCAGTTCAACTTGTAAAACTTTGTTAAGTTCAACAAGGGTTTGCGCGGACGTGTAAATTGTAGAATCATCTGCATATAGGGCCATGGTGGAATTCTCTAAAACAAAAGGCAGATCATTCGTAAAGATAGAAAACAAAAGCGGCCCAAGGCAACTCCCTTGTGGCACACCACAATCGAGAGTCTGTATATCAGAATTACTCCCATTAAATGTTACAATAAACTCCCTATTGGCAAGATAACTTTTAATCCATTCAATAGCAGATGTTTCAAAACCATAACAGATTAACTTTTCCAACAAAATTTCATGATCAAGTACATCAAAAGCAGCACTCAGATCTAACAATACTGTTCCAACAATTTTTTTATTTTCAATATCTTTTATCCAATCCTCAGTTATCTGAGCCAAAGCTGTTGTTGTAGAATGTTCCTTCCTGTATGCATGCTGATAAACAGAATTTAAATCATTTATGCTAAAATACATACTTATTTGTTCATAAACAATTCTTTCTGTAATCTTACTCAGAATAGATAAAATACTAATCGGTCTACTATTTTTTCCCGACAGTGGTTCCTTCTTATTCTTTATAAGGAGCATAATTTTAGCAACTTTCCAACTAGTAGGACAAATGCCTTTCTCTAAACTTAGATTTATTATATAACTTATAGGCCTAGCAATTACATCAGCTACTATTTTTAATAATTTTGCATCAAGGTTATCAGCACCTGATGGTTTCTCTTTAATTACTTTTAATAAACTCTCAACAGTAGTAGTACTTACTCTTTCAAAGTCAAATTTGCATGCTTTATTTCCCATTATTTTATTACATATTGTTCTATTATTTAAATAACTTTTTTGTTTCAGATTCATACCTTGTCTTAAAGTTGAAACTTTATTCTTGAAATAAGAACTTAAATGATTTGCAATATCACTGGGTTTAGTCAAAAAGGATCCTTCAACTTCAATAAAAGATGGCACCATTTTAGCTTTTCTTCCCATTATTGTATTAAGCATACTCCAAATTTTATTACTATCAGATTTTGCCTCTTTAATCTTATTTTCATAATAATTTCTTTTTTTTGTTCTGTTTAATTTAGTAACAAAATTTCTTAATTTCCTATACTTATTCCACAGGATACTATTACCTGATGTGATTGCTTCAGCCTTTAATTCATTTCTCAGCTTTATGTGCTCCTTAAGTTCTAAATCTACCCAAGGAGCAGCAATGGTTCTTACAGTTATTCGTCTCAATGGTGCATATTTATCCATGATTGGCATTATTGAGCTAGTAAAAGCCTCTAAGGCTCTATTAGGATCATCCTCAAGTAATATCTTTGACCAATCAACATTTCTGACTTCTTCACAATATTCATTTTCATTAAAAAATTTAAATATCCTTTTAACAATAATT